AAGTTCGTTAATAAAGAACCGTATGGTACATGTATCCTATGTGTTGCATTAGCATTGATAACGTAACATTTGCGTATTGTAGAGTTATCTGCTCTTGTGAGCAGGTATTGATTGGTATTGGGTATTGGTACCTTATATTGTATGATATATGTGTAATTTGGAAATTAAACGTTCAGATCACCAGAGATTGGCAATCAGACCTCTCTTCTTACAAAATGTTCCAATAGCTGGGTTTTTTGTGAGAACGTCCCTTTAAAACACTGTATGTGACAGACACCGTACGCGTAATACCATTTATATAGATGATTTAGATCTCATTTAGAAAGGAAAGCCGTAATGTTATGACTAATTTAGTGTAACTGTATATATCACTTTAAACGTTTTACCTTTGAAGTTACCTGAATGCGGTCACGTTTCTTTCAGTAATAGATCTGGGCCAAAATACGCTGTTGTTTATTTTTATTTTAAAGGCACAGTTATCTATGCCCGTAGGTAAAACTGAAAGTTATCGACATGCACACTTATACTAAGTTTCTCACCGTTTCTTATATCATTTTAATCTAAATGTAGAGACTAGTATGTGGTAATTACTATGATAAAAAATACATGCCTTTTTATGGAGAGTAAAAATTGTCTTTGTGAAAATACGCTGAAATATGGTTATCTTCTCAAGTTCGGATCGACACCATACTGAGATGGTACAGCATTATGCCATGATATCAGTAATTAGGAAACTATTTTTTAAAAATAGACATTTACAAAAAGTCATTAAGCATATAAAATCTGCAAATTCATCTTCGAAACCTTAATCGGTCTGATCGTGATATCACGGCGCAGGATATATATAAAATGCACAATGAGAATGTAACCCTATAGGATCACAGTACCACTCTACCAACACTGCCGATAAACGTTGGAGACCGTTTACCGGCACGACTTTAGCTTCGGTAAATCATTTTCGATATGAAACGAAACCTTACGTGACTTTTAATAGGAACATTAAAGATGAAATAAACAAACTATAAACAAAAGTAGTGTTATCAATGTAAAACTATAGTAGGACTACACCGGTATTTGTACGTAGGAGTTCAGATTGCAATACCATCGCTCTAACCGATTGAGCTACCTAGTCAACAGATGTAACCTGGCCAATTTTTGTCTTCAGTTACATCCAAACGGATGTCAAAGGGGCGGGGGTATATAAATAGAAAATCAACAGGTGGGACAGGTATCCTTAAACGGCGAACGTAACAAACATACGTGATGACATTCTTTAACATTGGGTAATATTTAAAGTATGTCAAAAATCAAATTCTTCTCCCACCTTCTTTGACTCATTAGTGATGATAGGGCCGTGAAGGTAGACATCCACATGTGTCTAAACTACTGATGAAGCAGGTACTTAAATTCCTTGATAATATATACTTCAGAAATGAGAGGGGAACTGGTTGAATTCAGATTAATAATCAGTAGAGTGTTTTTATAATGAACAATGAATCTATTTAAAGGGGATGGTGGTCAACAAGGTTACGGCAAACCTCGATGATTAATTAAGTGTGACAGGAAAGAGAATAGTGTGCTTCCACCGGAGATCGAACCCGCGATCCATAGGTTCCTAGTCGGACGCTCTACCACTGAACTAAAGAGAAATTCCCTCTAGCTCGAACCTAGAAGGCGACCGTAATCCTATGTACAATTAAAATCTTAGACTGGCCACCAGCCCCTAAGTTTTTATGAAGAATTTCTCGACTGCATTTTACTACTAGCTTATCTCCCCCTAATTTAGAACTAGAATCAGACATCCAAGTGATCAAAATTATTAGAGTTAGTTTTTTCTTAATTATTTAATATTTTAGAGACGGTGGCCAGTCTATCAAAATCTGCCACTTCAGAAATTCACCCGAAGTGTCTACCACCTCGTAAAAATAATCGTGGGTACTCACACATGATTTCACCCATACAATGGTAATAGATACAGTATAACGTAAATGACTAACAACGCGTCATACTACTGTGTCGTCTTTTGTATATCTAGAAATGAAGTTTTTATATCTTTTCCTGAATTTAGTATGACTAAAGGCATGCCAGCATATAGGTCAATTGAAAGATTAATAGCAAGAGAACCTCACACCGTGATCACACAATGATAAAAAAAATGGCGGAACTCCTATACATATCTCGGCTTCTAAATACTATACGATAAATACTGCAGATATCGAAATTGGTAAAAATATTAGGCTCTATTTAATTAAAATTTATTATTTTTATCAAAAAACATTCTCAGAAACATTCGTATACTTAATACTCAATTATAGGTTACAAATAGGTGCATGTTGAGTTTAATTTGCTTTTCCTGTAAAATTATCGCTCTGAAAAGACTCCTTTGAGTTACAAAATGCAAAATAGAAAAAAAAAATCCTCATTTAATAAATAAAACAAATCCCGATCCGCCATTTTGAATGATGTCATATGTTTAGTCACTCTAAACCGCTGAAGTCGTGTCGCATATGTGAT